CCCACCCACCCACCCTTAGCAGGGTCCACGATTGCCCCCAGCCACTTTCTAAACGATCAGACGGGCTACAGACCCCTCTAATCATCAGACGGCTTCTTCAAAGAAATCTGAGTTGTCAGACGAACATGCCATAAATTTCTAAATATTCAGAATGTTAAGTAGAAAATTTCTTAGCTTAGTGATGCACAGCATGTTGCACCTCCTAGCTTAACTACTCAGACAAGTCCTCTACAACCATGGTCATGCGCACATTCACATCTTCATTATCAGCACTAGTCTTCTTCCTCTTCTTCTTGTCGTGCTTTCTCTTCTTGCGGGGGGGGTTGGGCATTACGACATGCTTCGCCTGACGTCGCGGAACTGGTGCTCAAAACTTCTCCATCACTTCTTCCCACTTCATAGGATACTCCAGCAGAGAGACACACATGAGATCCGCAAGGCGGGTGTCACAGAGGTTAACCCGCAGCCAGGACTTGATAGTGCTCTGGCGGCTGAAGCCACGCTCGCACTCCACGGTGCTGAGCGGCAAGACAGCAACCGCTACCCACATGCGCACGAGGTTGGGGTACGCCGTGCGCCAGTCCTCCGACCTAAGAATGCTCTTGAGGGAGTTGTGGAATGAGTGGTCTTTGTAGTGCTTGTTCATCATCCTAGTGAACCGCGGAAGCTCTCTTTCAGCCTTCAGCTAGTCAATTCCTGTGGGGCAAGATTGGTTGGGAAGCATTATAACATAACTTAGATCCTCTTACTGCGACATCCACATTCAATACATGCCGCAATACTGTTACATTCACAATCAATGTACATAAACCATTAAGAGACGCACCGGGCATGGCGCACTTCTCGGCACGGTAGAGGACCTTAAAGCCGTTGACCCAAATTACAGAAATCGCCTTTCAAGTTTATTAATCTTGAAACCCCCCGATTGGTAACCCAGTTCCCCAGAGCGAGAGCAAAAACGAAAGTTGCGCAACAAAACGACAGGAAGCAGTCTATAACCTTACGCCAACCCCAGCTGATTATGTCCCTGCCCCCGCCACACCAGGCGTTTGAGCAGTAAGAAACTTGAACTTCCCCCCATACATTTTGGGACTTTTCGGAGTGCAAATCCAGCCCAGCGCCACTACGCCCTAGGCAGCGAAAGCACCATGCACAGCACACGCCAGTTTTTATCAGGGCGCGATACAAATCGTTTCAAGTGAGGTACGCGACTTGAACTCGCAATTGTTTTTTTCTTATCAAGCCTTCTTGATCGCGTTGAAAACAGTCTAAACGTCTACAACCGCATCAGCTGTTCGAATTTCAATTTGAAGACATACTCGTGATATGAGATGTACCACACCCTGATATGCGCAAGTCGAGTTGCTTGGCAATTCGAAGCGAGTTGCACAACTCGGCCAGGATGCGCAACCCAGAGCACGTGCCCTTCCTTCCCCCTGTTTTCAGTGCTCCATGCTGTGCCATGCGCCGCTCTGACCAGGTATTCTTCCCCCACTCCCCCCTGCGACTTGCGTGCACCCCCACCTTCCTTTTCCCCACCCTCGATTTCCCCCAGTCGTTGTTTGCGAACGTTTTGGTTCTGTCATAATTTGTATGCTCGTTCTGATTGGTTTTCGTAGTGTGCTGTGTTCGCCCACTCTCGCCACCCTCACACCACTCCTCCACGCCCGTGTCCTTTCTCCAGCTCAATTTTTTGCCCGGTTCATCTTTATTAATCTTGTACGTTTTGGGTCAACGGCTTTAAGCGAACCGAACCACTGTGCGCACAGCCGCTCGTGTTTTGCGGATGCGTCGGGGTATGCGTCGGGGAGGAATAGCTTCGACCCACGGAGATTGTTGAGACTCGCCATACGCGTCTCCAAATTCCGAACGACCGCCTGCACAAAGAGGGAGGCAATGGAGATACAAGACCCCATAGCTCCTTTGCTCCTCTGGTCGCTCAAGTCCTTCTCATGAAGCTTGAAGGTGTGGGTCTTGGGGTTGCCAGAGCCGTCGATGCCCTCCACCATGACCCTCCGCTTGTTGGAAGGTCCATGCTCCTCCAGGAACTTAGACAGCAGGTCGGAGCCTTCGCCGAAGTTGACGCCATGCTCGATGTAGTGTGAGCGGAGCACATTGCAGGTGTTCTCAATCAGCTGGGCGATTCTTGTGATGTCCACCTGCGATGTAGCCACTGCAATGAAATTAGCGCTGTTATGCATTCAGGCAGGAGGAGCAAGCAATTTATACTGATGAACAAGCATGCACGCTTACAGCTCGACGCTGAAACTTTTTGTTGAGGGCATTAAGCTCTGCAAGGACGTCAGCTAGGAAAAAGAGAAGGAAGTGGAACTTGAAGCTGATGACGACATGGTACATGTCATCATCAAATTCATACAGCAGCAAGACTACAGCGGGGAGAACTTCAACGAGCCGCGAGATGGCTTCCTTTATACCCTACATTTCCAGGGTCGTATCGTTGATGAACTTCTGGAGCTCGCCGAAGCGCTTGTGTATGACGATGCTCCGCCCAAGGATGTCAGCCAGACTCCTGACCACCTTGTGCATGATGTCAAGGTCAACGTACTCGGTGGCTGCATCCTTCGCAGCTAACGCCTCTCTGCAAGCAAGAAACGGAAACATTAGTTCTTCAATGTTTGGTTACATGCACTTGGCTCATATTTAAATTAACGGACATCACAACACCAACTACACGTTCATTACAAGGCACCAACCAAAACTGACCTGTGCGCGATGCAGTGGCATGCGACGAGGTGCGGAACTTTGGCGCGGAGCTGCGCCACGAGGCCTCGGTTCATGCCGGTCATGATGCTGGCGCCGTCAGTGTTGATGCCGCTGATCTTGTTCAGATCCAACCCGGTAGATTCCAGGTGTGTCCGCAGTGTTGATAGAAGAGAGCTGGCATCACACTTCTCAACTGTGAGGTGAGCGTAGAACTCAGTCACGACCTTGGCGTTCTTCAAGAATGTCAGATAGACAATCATGTGTTTCCCATGCCGCCTGTGGGTGCTCTCATCCAGCTGAATGCCCACGAATGGAGATGCGTCAATGTGTTTCTTTTGCTGGGCGCGGAGGTAAACGACGAGTGCTTCAGTGATCTGCTTGAAGCCGTACCTGCAGAAGCAAAATAACAGAGAGTTAGACTTAGTCAGAACGGTAGTCCTTGAGTATCTACTGCGAAGAAACGAGAGACAGACTTACTCAGAATGGTACGTGCCTAAGGCTTTCTCAGGGATGTGCGAAGAACGTAAGTCGACGAGAAGACAAAGAAGAGAAACAAGCATGCCAATGGGAGCGTCAGACTTGCAAATCCACAAAACGATGAGCAACAACTGCCTGAGGCGGTTGTCCAGGGACTCAAGGGACTCCTCGAACTCTAAGATGCTCAGCTGCGACGTGACCTTGCCATCCAGCTGCTGCTGTCTCTCCTCTGCGGCCTCGTGCTTCTTGCTTTGAGAATGCTTCACCATTGTTTGCTTTTGGATATCCACTCCACCGTTGCCGAGTTTCCCGTACTGCCAGGTGGGAGGTGCGTGAGCCATGCAAAGCCTACATTTCATGCACGGACGTCCGTCGGGGCGCTGATCGATGATGAGCCATGGGAACTTTCGGACCCACTGCTCCTCAGCCTTGCTTTTTAGCTCAGCTAGAAGTGCGTCAGGGTCAGGGATGAGATGGCAGCAAAGACGGGACTTCGGGTTCGGGACCGGCCGGTCAGCAGAAGAACCAGCTTCGGGCTGTTCTGCCGACGAAGGTGGTTCGTCAGTGGAGGCACGAGCCTCGACACGGATGTGAGGAACACGGGTGCGTGCAAAGCGTATCGTGCTTTGTGTGAACTGTCGAATGAACCGTGGCTTCGGCAGCTGTTGTACAGCGCCGACGGACAGCGGAGGGGACCGCCTAGCTGATACAGCGGTAGGAGAGCGAGGAGACGTTGGGGGAGTGGATTCGAGTAACAGGTCGCTGTTAACTTCTGGGAGTATCTCGCTAAATGGCGGCGCTACTGCGGGTGATGGGACTGCAGGCACGGGTTCTGCCTCTGGATTCGGGCAGGTCTGGTGAGCTAGACGCAGGAAATCAAGCCCACTTACGGGGGGCATACCAACCATGGGAGGAACTACAGATGCGGCGCCGCCATCTCTAACGGCGCCAGCATCCATGTCGAAGTGGTGTGAGACGGGCTATGGAGCAGGTAGAAAAATGACAAGTAATCACCGTGTGTCGTCAACATAGTGAAGGGAAGGAGTGAGCATCGCAACGAGGACTGGAGAAGAACCTGGGCGTGGTCCCTCTTTCACAGATCCTCAGGGCGCGCATGCATCTCCAACGGCAGGGGGAGCATCCATCCACCGTCCAAAGCTGGCGAAGGTTCTCGTCTCCTGCACGAAGCGGGCACTTGGCGACAAGCCAATAGGCGAGGAGTACTGTGCTGTTGATAAGACAAGCCAATCAGATGTGGAGCTGCAGCAGCTGCAGCATGCATTGCAACCCATGACCCAGCGCGCGCACGCCCCTTAGCTGGCAACAGCGATGGTATCCTTGTGCGCTGTCACAAGACAAGCCAATGACATTCACATGCATGTGCCATCACATGCTGCCGCAGCTGATTTTGGGCAGCATCTGAGTCACGCTCTGCCTTGCTAATGCCTCGCTGCGAGTGACGCGTCATGTAAAGCTGCCAGAATAGTGCGTTCACGTTTTGGGTGGGCTGGGCGGCCACAACGCGGGCCGCGTGGTATACGCGGTCTGTATAGGGGGGCTGTATACAGCCCTATAGATATTGGTTTCAGACGGATGGATTCGCTTAGTCTAAAAACTCAGAAGAACGAATACACCCATTCTGTTTTTCCAGACGAATACAAAATCCCTTTCTAGGACATCAGAAAGTCTGAAAACAGGTTTCTAAAAAATCAGATGAAGGCCAAAAAAGGGTTATGAAAACCAGACAAACAGACGGATTTTGTCTGCAATCGAGGACCCTGACCCTTAGGCATCATCATAAAATATTCTTGTTTGTATTTGTTGGACTAGAATGGTGTAATTGCCCATTTGAAATGAAGCACGTTGCCATTGTTACAACGAAAGCAAGCCTTTTCAATGTTCCGTTTTGTAAGCTCAGGAATTTGCAGGCCCAAACAGCTATCATTTCCTCTAAGTGCCTCGCACTGCGATTTGAGCCTGGCTCCTAAGGTACAGCACTTGTGCTGACATGTGCTCCACGTACTCTTCCGCCAGCCAGGGGGCCTGAGGAACACACACAGGCACACACAGAAGCACAGGCACAGGCACCCAGACCCACACACATGGAATGCGAGGCTAATGGGAAGAAATGGCATAGACACGCGACAGCTCAGGCACATAGAGTGGACCACCTGCGACTCCCTTACTGGCAAAAACATGGCCAGCAGCAGTACACCTTCCCTGGCATCTCCCAGCAGAGTCCTTCCATTTCAGAATGTCCCTTACACTCACTCACCAGGTAGTCGTTCCCTGTGACCTTGCCGCGGCATCTGCTGCTGCTGCAGGAGCAGGGAAAGGGCTCGCTATCCACACAGAAGCTGCAGGGGAGGGAGGGACACAGGCCGCAGGGAAAATCGAAGAGGGGGAATAGAAGCGGGAGACACGGGGAAATGGAAAATGGGGCATGCTTGCCAGCTAGGGTTCGTTGAGAGATTTAGAAATTGCTTTCTGGTCGACTTGGAAAAAAGTGGGACGCAACGCAGGATGCAGGAAAGAAGAGGGAACGGAAGAATGGTCAAGAAGGACGGAAAATAAGGGCCCTTTTTTGCCAGCTAGGGTGAGCAAGCTAGAGACCCCGCAGGAAGCGAGCCACAAGCTATGAGGAAAAGAACAAGTTCCATGCAGCCAAATTCCACCGCTCTTCCCAACTCACGTGGCATAGTCGATCGTGACCTGCTCGCCCTTGCCAATCGCCCTCCGCGCCACCACATTCAGCCCCTCCAGCCACGCATTGGGGTCACAGGAATGGTTCAGAGGCTTCCAGTCCTCCGCCCTGGGGCTCCACATGGCCCACACCCCCGGCCCCACCGGCCACGCGTACTGCCGGAACCACAGCTGCTGCTGGGGCGACCAGTGCTTCTCCACGTGCTGCTGGGTTACCAGGTGCACTGGACCCTCCTCCAGGAGCTCGATTGTGTCACCCTGGGTAAAGTCACGGGCGGCGAAGAGCCCGAAGCTGGGGGGGGAGTAGGGGTGGGAGGACTTGGGTGGCACGGCGGGTGTAGTAGGTGCAGTAGATGCAGCAGACACAGCAGCAGAGGAAGGAGTGATGTCTTGAGGAGTAGCCGATGTACTGGAGCACTGCTTAACGAGGACAGGGGGCTGTCTGCGCTCCCAGCGGTGAACAGCAGCGAGCAGGATGCGGCGCAGGAAGGAGCGGTGGTCGTTGGAGGGGTCCAGGGAGAGGATAAAATCCGCACTCCCCTGCTGATCCGGAGGGTAGAAGATGCCGCAGTTGGGGTTCATCTCGAGGAAGTAGATGTTTCCCTCCACGTCTGCTCGGATGTCAAGTCTGGCGGTTGAGTGCGAGCAAGCGGGGGGTGGGGGGGGGGGAGGGGGGCATATCCGGAAGGAGAGGATAAAGGAAAAGGTGAGGGAGTGAAGCAGCAAAAGAAGAACAATAAGTTACAGGGTCTCGATGAGTGCAATAGCGGGGAAAAAACGAATGGTGCTTTAAGGAACACCCAATAGCCACCTTACTCACCTGCCATACCCAACGCCCCCGAGAGCAGTGAACATGGTAGCAGCCATGCCCCTTAACTTCGCATCCATACCCTCGTCCTCCACACGGCGCCACTGCAGCCCTTCATGCTCCACCCACTTCAAGTCAAAGTGCTTGAAGTCCTCGCCCGAGGGAAAGCCACACTCCACAGGCGCGTACACAAACACCCCCCCTGACCGATCTGATTTGGAACGGCATTTTGAGTTGAAGTCTGAGTCCGATTTCTGCTCTGCTGCTGCTGCTGCTGCTGCTGCTGCTGCTGCCTCCGCTAAAGGGTCCTCCGATACGAGCACAGTGAACTCGCGTCCCTCCACGAATTCCTCCACCATAACGGATCCAAAACTCGTTATCATCAGACTTGCTTGCGTCTTCAGCTCCTCTACACTCCCACACTTGGAATCGCGCGTCATCCCCACACTATTATACCCGCTCGCGTGTTTCACAATCACAGGCATGCGAAGCACCCGGGCAGCTTCCTCCACATCCCGGCAATCATAACACACGCGCCAGGGGGGGGTTCGCACCCCGTGATACACAGCCACGACTTTCATCTGCTCCTTACTGGGCTCGTAGCAGCGCGAGTCCGCCCCTGTGAAGGGCACGTTGAGGCGCTCTAGGGCCTGCACGACCTCGATCCCCGGCCGGTCCTCGTCCCACGCGCCGTCACAGAGATTCAGAAAGACATCGAACGGCGCAGCTGGATCACTGCGAGTAGTAGTACTATCCTCACCAGCGGTACTGCTGCTGCTGCTAGTACTGCTGCTGGACGCACTGGAGGCACTCGCGGTGCGGCTAGCAGGATTCGACGCGCGGGCGGCGCTACTAGCAGAACTGGTACTACTCGTACTCGTGGTATCACGGTCCTCGTCCTGTAGGACCAGCTGCGCCAGAGCCGGCGGCGCCACCAGCAACGGCTGTTCTCCTTTCTGCAGGCCCTCTGCCTCTGAGAAACTCAGTTGACCTGAGGCCAGTGGACCCGGGGGCCGTGGACCTGAGAGCTGGCGTCCACCTGACGGCTGGCGACGAGTGAGTGCGATGAGGTGCTTGACAGCCGTGGCCTTGTGAAGGTGCACGGAGGTCACGTGGTGCTCCGGGGAGTCCAGCCAGAGCTGCGGAACGGCGTCCGGGTCGAGCCCGTTGCAGGGCGAGAGCGACCCATCGTACGACGGGTGGAGCACGCAGATCCTCATATCGACGGCTGAGATCGCGCGAATTTTCGGCCCGAGCGTGCCGAATGAGATTGTCGCCGTCCGGGCTGAGAGGGAGCGAGCGCCTGGGTTTTCGCTGAGTGGATTATTCGGTGTATCCGAGAAGCCGTCAGGACACCGAGCCAGGCAGTGAGGTGAAACTCAGATGACCAGGTGACCTAGTAGCGTGGAAAACGCGGAATCCTGTGGAGCAATTTCCACGTTATATATCGACGGCAGGTCGCAAAGGGTAACCGTGGGCTGTTAACAGCGACAGTCGCACCAAAGGGACGGGCTACAAAGGAGGGAGTGCCAGCTAGCGAGAGCAAAAGTAATAAACTCCTGTTCCCTCGCAGTCCCAGACGCATCGTGGATCGAAACTGAAGGACGATCGCGGGGCTCTTATAGTAGCAGGGAACATACAGATTCCCTATAATTCTGTTACTCTCTCTTCCCCGCATCTCCCGATCCGCTCCCCCGCACTTTCCTCTCTCTCCTCTCCCTCGTCCGCCTCCACATTTTAGGGATCCACACCCTTGGGAAAACCGACGGAGCGCGACGACCCCAAGGCGTCACATGAACAATGGTGACCGACTGGGAACCTCCGGCTTCAGCAGAGCGCCAAATGGCGCCTCCATGGCACTCACTCATTGCGCTAAATGCAGACGCGATACAGCGCATACCTGGGTAGTTTTCCCCTACCATCTCCAACCATGGATGACGCGACATCGAGGCTCAGGAGTGGAAAGCTGACAACGCAACAGCTCCATGCGAAATGTTCCCAGAAACACCGGCTGAACAGCTGTTGAATGCAGATCAGCATCCATCAACCCCTAGGGATTTCCCCGGGCAGCTCAACTTTCAACTTCGAGTGGAGAGGAAAAATCGACGCTGAGGGCCTGGTGCTTTGGGTTCGGTTTGGGCTATTAGTTCGAACTTTCAGGGGTTGTCCACGCGGTTTTGTGTGCTTAAGTAGGTTCTGCTACGGCTCAGTGCGGTTGTCTTTCGAACTTCTGCATTCTTTACTAGTTGCACCGCGCCCTGAGGTTGAGGGGCGCGGGGCACATGAAACACTGGAAAAACCCGGAATGCTCCAGTGATATGAATGATGGGCAGCGATACCTTTTAGGGAGTGTTCCGCGCTCGGGGCAAGCCTCAAGTAAAATTCCGGGCTTCAATTATACGGACCGGATCACCCAAATTCTCACTTTGGTCGATCTATAACTGATACCTGGTTGTTTACCTCGAGGTTTGGCTCGAGCGCGGAGCGCGCCCCTAGGATTCGGGGTGGGAGGGCGTTTCGGCTGCAGTTGTGAAGGCAGCATCCTCGATGTTATGCATGATGTTTAGATAGTAAAGCATAGCACACCACATGTTCAATTGCTGCCTAAACGAAAATAAGGGTAGACTAAATCGTCTTAGGGTGGCGGAGCTGTAATTTGTCAAATTGCGATTAAATGAACGTTTTATTTAATGAAATTATATTTTAATTTTTACATTCGGAAAACACACTACTAAAATGCAATCAGCATCTGATTGCACTTTGTGATTTCGTTTCCATACTTCATATTTTTAATCACCGTAAACGTAGGCGAAATGGAAGGCGTTGATGATGGCCGTTGCTGCGACCATAATGGCGGTGGACTGTGGAAGGAGAAGGGGGTGGCAAGAAGGGCGTGGGAACGGAATTGAATGGCAGAAGAGAACAGGAGGCCATAAGGAGAATGGAGGTTGGAAGGCATGCATGCATACACTGTGGGAAACACTATGATCACAATGGCAGTGGTCTGTGGTGCAGGGGAGACACGAGCATTGGAGGTAGGAGAGATGGAGGAAAGGATGGAGAGAGGAGGGGGGCGTTCTGGAGGTGAGAGGAGAGAATCGAAAAAGGTAGTGCGTTGAGCTAAAACACTACTTTATGGGGCGTTTTGGAGAGCGGTTTATCGGAGGGTGGCGTGCATGGTTAGAGGTGTCAGAGAAATGGGAGCATAGTGCTGGATGCCCACCTGAGCAACGACGATGGTGCTGTATGCTCGCACTCTGGGCGCTGAATCCATAAGGTTGCCCTCGAGAGGGCATGCTGTGAAGGCCACTAGCTGGAGGTCGGACAGTTGCGAAGAGGGAAAAAGGGAGGAGAGGAAAGGACGAGGGGAGAGAAGGTAAGAAAGGAGAGGGAGGAGATGGGAGGGAGGAGAACGGGGAGGAGGTAAGGGAGGAGAAAGGGAAGACGAACACGAAATGGGGGAAGGGGAGGAGGAGACACAAGAGTGACAAAGGAGGGGTTGCAAGGGTGAATTGGAGATGAGGTGCGTGTAGAGGGGAACAAGGGCGGATGTATGCAAAGGTGGATGTGTTTGCCTCAGTTAGCACATTTTTTGCGTGTATTTGTGTGTGTGTGCATGTAAGTGTGAGCGCGTGTGTATATGTATGTAAGTGTTTGTGCATCTTCATGTGCGCATGCATGCGTGTGTGACTGAGTGACTGAGTGAGCAGTGCGTAGTAAGGGCATGTGCTCACCCGGCTAACGAAGCTTGCGATGGCCACTGGCAGTAATGAGTGATGCAATATCGCGAGCAGAGCAGTTCTGGAAAACTGCCATGACTGCTCGCTAAAGCAGTTGAACGCGTACATCCAGTACAAGGCTGCAGCGACATCAGAAGCAGGGCGATGAGGAATGAGAGGGGGAAAGGGGGAGAGGAAGGCTTAGACAAAAATGAGGACGCACGGGGAAGGGACATGGGATGGGAGGGAAGAGGGAAAGAGGGAGAGGAAGAGGAAATGGCCGGAAGCACGAGCGCAATGGCATCCCAATGTTGTGAAACGGGAGCCAAGTTGGGCTAACCCCCCGTCCGTAGGAGGAGCGTGGCAGGAGAGACATGGGGACTCCCTGCAAGAGATTGATTCAGTTGCTGGTTTTCGGGAAGCCTGGGGCTGAAAGAGAAAAGCTGAACGCGAGCAGGAAAAGGCGAGGAAGGATGCGAGGAAATGGAAAAGGAGGCACTGGCGGACAGGGTTGGGGTGGAAAGAAACTTCATTTTGAAAAAGAGAAAACGGAAGTGGCGAGAAACAAAAGGGGAGATGGCGGAAGAGAGCCGTTGCGGCGAATCGCCTGATTCTACTACTACTTCTAGTAACAGTGACTATCACTACTACTAGTAGTGACGCCGATGACGTTGACCTGGTCAACGCATCTTGCAAAGCCGCGGGATGGGCAAGGCGAGCGGCAAAGATGGAGGGAGTGAAGGAATGCTAAAGCGAGAGCGCTTGTAGAGTGTGGAGCGATTCCGACGGAGTAACGCAATTCGAATAGCGTGCTAGGCGCTGGTGGTATTTGGGATGAGTTCGCCTTCAAGTACTTGGTCGAAATTCGAGTAGAGTAGAAGTTCACTAGAAAAATATATATGTTCAGAGTACAAATAAGCACGCAAATACAGTATATAGGCAAGTGCAAACCCAACCAAAGTTGCGTGGCGCTGCGGGTGTAACCAACCACTCCGAATTTGCCTAAGGGTTGGGAGAACGCGCCTCGCCCAATTCTCCAACCCAACTCAGCAAGGTTGGGTTTGCCGTGTACGCAACTCCAACCAGCAAGGCAAACACTGCCTTGCTCCTCACGAAAATCCATCACGATAGCCATGACTACTCATGACTCGTCAGAGTCACTGGTCGCCGTGGAAATCTCCGGACCAATCCACACAAACTAGGCTTAGTCTTCGGATGCAACGATTAGTACGTGCACCTTGGTCACGCCAACTCGAAGCTGCCAGGCAATCGGTGCACCGACATGAGTCGGTCAATGCCTGGCTGCCCGCAGCTGCAGTAGGGCTTCCAACACTCCCCTGCACTACTACAGCAAGGCCCTTTATAATTACAGGGCACACACATACAAGCATACAAGCCAAGAAGGAACAGAGAGAACACACGCAAGGGTCCTGTGCATCAACAATACGCTTGCAATATTTCTTCATCTGAAACACACACCGCACCAGCCATGGATAGGCCATGGCACCATCACAAGCAGAAGCCAACGTAGAGCTAGAAGTGTATGCACAGATACGCTCATAGTCACGGAATGCTGCCAATGCACGTTCGTCGTACTCACCCTAGCCTTTCTCCGTCCTTCCACTCCTCATGCTCTTCATCCGCTTCCTTGGACCAGCACCACAGCGCAGAATACAGAAAGGGCTTGAAGAGAAAGCCATCACATGTGTCCTCACTTGTCCCACTGTATCAAAGCAACGGGAAAAGGCTGGGAAATGTAACGCTTTAGTGAGATAGTCAGCAGGTTGCTCGCTGGTAGGGATGTACTGCAGATCCAACTTCCTGTGCTTGACCATGTGCTGCAGCCACATGTGACGCCGCTCCATGTGCTTGAGGCTCCCCTTGAGCCCCATGCCACTTGCCACAGCAATCGCAGACAGATTATCGACGAAGAGTGTCGTCGGCTCCTCACACCTGAGCAGCTGAAACTCTGCCAGAAGGAAGCGCAGTCTGCGAGCCTCCTTCCCTGCTTCAACTGGCGCAATATACTCTAAATCAGTAGAGGAGAGAGTGACATGACGAATCCTCTGACTTTCCCAAGCAACTGCAGCACAGCCAAACACAAAGACGTAACCTCCTGTGCTGCTTCGGTTTTGCTTGTCTCCTGCGTACCCTATCAGCTCCAAGGACGCTGGACCCCCACTGAATTCCAAGGCTGCATCCTTGGTCCCCACCAAGTAGGTCAGGCACCACTCCAGCTCCTTCCAGTGCTGATCACTGCGCACAGTCTGTCCTGACCCCAGCTTACTGCATGCAAAGGCAATGTCAGGGCGTGTGGTACAGGCAGCAAACTGCAAGGATCCCACCTTCTGCCTATACTCCTCCTCCTGCCTGGACTGCCACTCCTCATCCTCAAATGTTATCTTACTGAATGGGTCGGAAGAGAGAGGGGTCTGTGGCATATGCTAAGGCAGCTCCCCTGCCAAAAGCGCCGCTGCACTTTCTCCACGTAGGCCGACTGGTGCATCCACAGCTTTTGGGAGGGCCTATCGCGCATCAGCTGCAACCCCAAGTATTTCTCGATGGGGTTTATTTCTCTCAGCTGAAATGCGCCCTGCAGCAGCTCACGCAGCTCCCCCGGCAGGTCCATACTGCAGCTGGCTGCCAGCAGGTCATCCACATACACAAGCAGCCAGCACATCTCACCCCCATCTTTGCTCTTGATATAAAGAGCCTCATCCACTTGGCTCTTACACCATCCAGCCCCAAGCACCCCATCCAAGGCCTCATACCAGAGCATCGGGCTCTGCTTGAGTCTGTACAGGCTCTTCAACAACTTGCAGACACGAGGAGTCCCATCTTCGTAATACTTGGGTTGTTCCATGTAGAGATCTCTGTCCAGCACCCCGTGAAGAAATACATTCTTCACATCCAACTACATCAGCTCCATATCCAGCGCAGCTGCCACTGCCAGTAGTATGCGTGCTGTCACGTAACTC